AAAAGGCAGACTTGGTGCACACAAGTTTTTTACTGTTAATTCTCAGAATTCCGAGAGAACATGAACACATAAAACGATATTTTTTGAACATCAGTAAGTTGATAAAGTCAACACAGTTGAAATACTCTCTAGACTAGATTATCTATCTACAGTATAGCGATTACTGACATTTAACCTCAACTCTACTAGGGTGAGATTTATATATGCAGAGTGGCCATCATCTCTAGGGAGGTCAAATTCTGCTGCAACGGCTAGCACATGCCGTGGTTGAGGATCTAAATTGGTATTTACAAATGAAACTTGAGGATTCCTCATTGCTTGTCATGTACATAGGGAACAACGACAATCAAGTGAACCCCTTCATCATCGCATACTAACTTCATATGATCTAAATGCGATTCTTTATACTGACCCGTACTGATTTCTCTAACTTTTTATTTATTGCCACTGATACGTTCAACTACTTATTATGGATCGACAAACTTTTGATTGAGCTTAGGCATTGTGAATGTTTTATTAAAATTAGTCAGCATAACTCTTGAACCTACTTTAATTTTAGTTGGTTTTGAGTGAGTATTAGTGACTCTTGTAAATTCTGCTGTTGATTTATGAAGTGTTTTCCAGATTCTTCTAGTAACACCTTGAGCTAAGCTGGTATGAGTCACTATGAAATCACAAGGATTGTAATTTTTTTTTGGATTAGAATATAACAACTCATATGGTAACTGCTAATCTACACCATACAAAGCATGTGGAGTGTCACCTATAGAAGCACTGTAAGAAGACTATGGCACATTGAACATCAGGTATAACTTCATCCCAGGTTGCACAATTGGGATTAATGGTGGCTCTCAACACATCAAGTACTTTCTTATTACAGTGGAACCCTGAGTTTCATATGCCCTGAGTATCGTACACTTTGAGTTTAGACCGCTCTTTTCAGCTCATTTTTGTATAGAGTTTCGTACTGTGCCCAGTGTTTAGTACTGTGTATCAGACCTGTCCACCTGCCCACGTCCCCCGCAAAGGCGTCTTGAGCAAGTCTGGCATTGTTTATGCTTGAGTGAACACTAACCTGTGCACTAATTCAAACATTTCACTATTAATTCTTTGTGTTTGGTGTTTATTTATTAAGTGCAACTGTGAAATAAGCTACCATGGACCCAAAGAAACTTGCTATGTGGCATCCCTGTGGTAAAAAAAAGTGAGATACACATAGAGTAAGGACGCTTTGTGCAGTCTTGCAGGACATATGGCAAATGCCAATCACAACTCGCTTCTAATCCTGATAAAGACGAAACGAAAAGGCAGCTTGAGCAAGGTGTTTTGTATGACTAACCCATAAACTTGACATCAAACATTTCATATTAATTCTTTGGTGTGTTTTTTTTAGTGAACTGGAAATAGTTGGACCAAAAAAAATAGTGATCCTTGGTAAAAAAATCGAAACATATAGAATAAGGAGCTTGGGAGCTTGCAGACATTTTTCAAAAGCAAATCAAAATCGCTGTCTATTGATTAAAGAGAGAAGAGATAAGGAAGACTGATGTAGAAGGATGTGATACACAATAATGCCAAAATAGTCGAAGACTGAAAGTTGTGTTGGTGGATAAAAAAAATGTGCGATTGAATTTAAGTGAAAGGAGGCAGTGCAACAATTCATAAAAACTGCCTGAATAGTGTTCTGTTAGTGACTTTAGTAGCAGAGGTTGGTTTGACAGATTTAAGAAGCATAGTGGCATACACAGTTGCAGGGCTGGGTGAGGCTCCAGTTATGCGAATGGCGGCGAAAAATGTGCGTGAATTCAAGGGGTACATAGAGAGTGAAAAATTCAAACCCCAACAAGTGTTCAATTGTGACGAAACAGGCCTCTTTTGGAAGAAAATGCCAAAGAGGACCTACATAATGCAGGAGGAAAAGGCACTGCTAGGACACAAGCCTATGAAAGACATGCTAACTCTCGTTCTGTGCTAATGATAGTGTGGATTTCAAAGTGAAGCCTTTACTGGTGTATCACTCAAGAAAAACAATGTCATCAAGAATAAATTGTGTGTTGTGGAAAGCTAATAATAAGGCAGGGGTCACAAAGCAAATTTTCAAAGAGTGGGTCCATGAAGAGTTTGGCCTCAGTGTGAAAAAATACCTTCTGGAAAATAATTTGCCACTCAAGTGCCTCCTGTTACTGGACAATGCTCCTGCACATCCTCCAAACTTGGTAGACCTATTGTCTAGGGAATTCAGTTTCATTACAGTGAAATTCTTGCCTCCTAACACAACTCCTCTCCTCCAGCTCCTCCACTCAGCACCAAAGCAGTGTTTCAAAAGTGCTTTGATGTGGCCTCAGACATTCAGTTGACCCTAAGAGAGTTCTGGAGGAATCACTTCAGTATCTATAACTGCATAAGCCTTAATAGGTAAGGCTTGGGAGGGAGTGACTTCCAGGACTTTGAACTCTGCTCGGAGACAATTGTGGCCAGATTGTGCCCAAAAGAGGGAATCTGAAGGGTTTAAGGCTGACCCTGACCCTGCCGACCCTCTGCCTGTTGTGGAAGGTATTGTGGCATTGGGGAAGTCCATGGGGTTGGAGGTGAGTGGCGAGGATGTGGAATAGTTGGTGGACGACCACAGGGAAGAGCTAACCACTGAAGAGCTGCAAGAGCTTCATCTGGAACAGCATGAACCACAGCTGAGAAACTTGCTTCAGAGGAGGAGGAAGAGGGAGTGGATCAGGTGCCTTCTTCACAGATTAAGGAGATTTGTGCAATGTGGAATAAGGTGCAGGCACTTGCTGAAAAATATCACCCTGACCAAGCCATCTCCGCAACAAGTTCAGTGACAGAACCATGTCCCATTTTAGGGAAATCCTAAAGCACCAGAGACAGAGGACTGAGGACAGTTATTTTGTGAGACAGGGGTCCAGTGATTCTCAAGCTGGTCCTAGTAGCATTAAAAGACAAAGAAGGGAAGTAACCCCAGATAAGGATTTGTTACCTAAAGTCTTTAAGGAAGGGAATTTCCCTTCCAAACAAGAATCTCGTTACAGAATTCACCTCCGTTATCTGTTACTAGGGACTTAGTTGTATGCCTGCAGATTATACATTCCTTAACCCGTAAACGGTCCAAGCAGATCTACGTTCACATGTGTAGTGCTACAAAAGTAGATCTACGTTTTTTTACATATTTTCAAATATAACAAAAAAAAAAGTAGATCAAAGTTTTTTACACATTTTCAAATGTAAAAAAACAAAAAGATGATCTACTTTTTTTACATACTTTCAAATGTTGAAAAAACGTATATATACGTTTGGACCATTTATGGGTTAAATGCTTTAGCTACTGTCTTGGCAGTCTTATCTGCTATAAGAACTAACTCTCAATATCTGGTGCAATGGTCTACCATAACACATAGAAGTTTGTTGCCCTGGAGGGAACATTGGAAATTAGTTAACAAATCTAGTGCAACTCTTTCCCAAGGTTCATTAGTAGTGGGATACACCTGGACTGGATACACCTGCTGCATACAGACACTAGATTTCTTAACATACTCAGAAATATCAATTGCCATATGAGGCTGAAAGTATTTCAATCTGACTTGCTTTACAGTATACAGTAACACTACTGACAAGGTGAGGGAGGTTCAATACCAGTGTCTCAAAATAACTTATGTTTGAAAATAAATGGTATAAAATACCGACACAATGGAAACATAAACACATATGCAGTTTAATGTGATCCTTTATTGACAACGTTTTGCCCACACAGTGGGCTTTTTCAAGTCACAAACAGATCTACCTGGGGTGGAAGGTACGGGAGTATTTATAGTTGGGTTCAGAATACTCCCGTACCTTCCACCCCAGGTAGATCTGTTTGTGACTTGAAAAAGCCCACTGGGGGGCGAAACGTTGTCAATAAAGGATCACATAAACTTGCATAGTGTTTGTTGTCATAACTTATGTACGTAGACATAATATTGCTATCAAGAAAACAGGTGAGGGTGATTGAGGCAATGTGAAAGTCAAATATATTGAGGTGGCTAGGCAGGGATGGTATTATGAAGGAAGATACAACATGACATTATTATTATTGTTGTATAATCAAAAAGAAGCGCTAGAGCCACAAGATCATACAGGACATAGGAATTAATAAAGAATATAAAGTGATGAGTGTGTGCATTGAGGCAGTGTGAAGTCATCAAGATATTATCTATGGAGGCAAAGAATGGAATGTATTGAGATATAGATGGTACCATACATCTTAATGGTTGAATGCATGGTTGTAAATTGCTGCAGAAAGGAGGCGGCTGGAGGCAGTGAAGATGTCATGTCTAAGGACAATGCGTGGCGTAGATATCATGTAGTGAATTTGTAGTGTGGAAATTAGGAGGGGGTGTGAAGTTACTAAGGGTATTATTCAGAGGGCTGAAGAGGGGTTGTTGAGATGGTTTGGTCATATAAAGAGAATGGATCAAAATAGGTTGACTTGGAGTGTGTATAAATCTCTAGTGGAGGGGAGGAGGGATAGGGGTCTTCCTTGGAAAGGATGGAGGGGGTGAAAGAGGTTTTGTATGAAAGGGGCTTGGACATGCAGCAGGTATGGGTGAGCATGTTAGATAGGGGTGGAGATGAATGGTTTACAGGGGCCCTGCCCCCTAGGCAGAACAAAGCTGCCGACCCCTGGTGTAGAGAATGTACACATTACGCTCATGCTGCAAGGCTTACCTGTACTGATTCTCATAGCATAAATTAATATAAACTCTTTTGTTTGCATACCTAATAAAAGGTGTTCTACTAATGTGATATTCTTGCTTTAAGTGTTGGCCATACAGGTAGCAACCAAAATACTAGATTTATAGCCTATTGGAATGATATCAGCATTTTGAGAAAAGCTGAGTGGATCATATTAAGCTAAAGAATTATTGACTTATTTCACTGAGGCAGTGACAGCATTGTGCCTAGGGTCATTGTACATATGAGACATGATAAATGACAATACAGTAAGAGTGCTGCCAAGATTTATTTTTACAAGATGTTGCCATACATATACAAAAATATCATAATACACTGTTCTATTAATGATATATTGTATTTATCTAAGTATCATTTATATTTTAACACACTGGTCACGTGAGAGCAGAGGCAGGGTGACCCCCCTCCCCCCCAAAAAAACTTTTACCATTATTTATAATTAATTATTCTTTCAAATTCTTGATAATCTCTTATTTCCTTATTTGTGACAGTTGGTGAAATTGACTGAAGAGCTTCTAATAAATCTGTTTCTTGTAGAAGTACTTGTAGTGACTCTTCTTCATAATGTTTTGCTTTCACTGCTGCCACAAGCGCCTGAAAGTACACAAAATCTATCAGAATAAACATCTACATCATGATTATTTATAACTAATATAGTTCTTTTTAGGGTGACCCAAAAAGAAAAACTTTAATTTTTCTATTTAGGTCACCCTGCCTCTGTGGAAGATGGCTAGTGCATTAAAAAAAAAAGTATAGGTATTAGCTAAAAATAGGGGATTGGTATCAGTATCAGTAAAAATTTTGGTATTGTTCTAGCCCTAGTATAAATATTATCATTACCAATTTTGAGAATGAGTGATGATGAATGAGCTTCTCCTTCAGGACACCTTTTGAAAGTGAGAGTTAGTGACTCATGATAGTCATAATACAAGATAGTAAACAACACAGGGACCAGGCAGGGTTCAAGCCTTAGTTCTAAAACTAAACTAGCAGACCAGTGCTCTCTCACCACTGGTCCACACACACACAGGCTTAATATAAATTATCCAGCTCCCAAACATTAAAACTGATTGTGTCCCCTTTATGTTATTGTGCTAGAATCCTAATCACCTATAATCAAAATCAAACCTGTGATTACTTAAACAATTAAACTTGATAAAAGTCATATAGCATAAACTAATAGGATATTCAATTCTCTTGTACTGACTGTAACTCCTAAATTTATACTTACACTCGCCTAAGTGACTATGTATAAAATTACTCAAATTGTTATTTCTTTCAACACACCAGCCATATCCCACCAAGGCAGGGTGGCCCAAAAAGAAAAACGAAAGTTTCTCTTTTAAATTTAGTAATTTATACAGGAGAAGGGGTTACTAGCCCCTTGCTCCCGGCATTTTAGTCGCCTCTTACAACACGCATGGCTTACGGAGGAAGAATTCTGTTCCACTTCCCCATTATTGCCTTATTAATACTAAGTTAGTCTTAAGTTTGCCTGAAATGCTCTGCGTATTAAGGGGGCTTTCTGCATGCACACCTAAATGTCATTCACCTTTGTATAAACATTGTATCATGCTGAAATAAAGTACACCTGGAGAGGGTTTTGGGAGGTCAATGCCCCCGCAGGCTGGTCTGTAACCAGGCCTATTATTATTATAACTAGGTATATTTTTATACACTAAAGAGTTAGATTAGACAGAATTGAAAGTTGGGTAAAACTGAATTAAGAAATGGAATGAGCTCCAAGAAGCATGTGTTGATCTGTTTGTTTTGGCACAATAGATCATCGTATGAATGGAAAGCAATCATTCTATGAGCTGTTTTAGGAGTTTTTTTAATCATTATTAAAAACTGTGAATGTTCTTTCTGTGAAGGGAATACTATACATTATAAGAAATATAATTTTTTTCTTCATATACAGTATCTAAATTTCATAGGGGAATGTGTGAATTTAATCATCACCCATGAATTTTAGAAGCTATTAGCAGAAGCACCATAAGAATGATGTGACTGCCAAAATTATCTAATTTTGATATGCCCCAAAATTTAACCCTTTCAGGGTCGAGACCTGTGCTCTCAAACTTGCTCTCAGAGTCGAATAATAATAATAATAAAAAAAAAAATGAAATGACAGAGAATCTTTTTCTAAAGGTAATGAAACCAAAAGAACAAAATTTGATGGAAAACCTACGGAATTACACTCTTGCAAAGTTAATGATCTTGGCATGGGCGATTTCACCCAATTTGCACTCTATTTTTGGCCAATTTCATTGTTCCAATCAACCAAACTCATAGCTATTTTGCTAGTATTCCTTCTATTCTATTGACTGAGTACAAGAAACCACCTATTTACCTATTTCAATTACTCAAAGTGATCAGAAATCTCCTCTTCAGCTCTCTAACTAATACTTTTAGTAACTCCACACCTTCTCCTAATTTCCACACTGTGAATTCTCCGCATAATATTTACACCACACATTGCCCTTAGACACGGCAAATCCACTGCCTCCAGCCTCCTCCTCACTGCAGCATTTACAACCCATGCTTCACATCCATATAAGTGTTGGCACCACTATACTTTTGTACATTCCCTTTTTGCCAATGTGGATAACATTTTTTTGTCTCCACAGATACCTCAATGTTTAACTTGCCTTTTTTCCTGCATCATTTCTATGGTTAACCTCATCCTTCATAAACCCATCTGCTGACACGTCAACTCCCAAATATCTGAGCACATTCACTTCTTCCATACTCCCTCCCTCCAATATGATATCCAATTTTTCTTTATCTAAATCATCTGATACCCTCATCACTTAACTCTGATCTATGACTCTCTGGTCGCGGGTTCTATCCCCGCCCGTGGTTTGGTTTGTTTACTATTATCTAGGTTCACTTTCAACTGTCTACCTTTATGCACCGTCCCAAACTCGTCCACTAACCTTTAATAGTAATAATAATATATCTTTATTTCTACAAGTACATGTACAAGATATACAGGCCTAGCTCACATCAATGACATACTACTATATAGAAAGCCGCTTGTTATGCAGAGCATTTCAGGCAAATTAGATCAGTTTTGTCCTAGGATGCAACCCACACTTGTCGACTAACACCCAGATACCCATTTTATACTGATGGGTGAACACAGACAACCAGTGTAAGGAAACATGCCCAATGTTTCTACCCTTGCTGGGAATCGAACCCGGACACTCATCGTGTGAAGCAAGAGCTTTAGCCACCAGGCCACGGGGCACCGTGACCAGCTTTGCAACTTTTCTTTAGAACCTCCCAAAAGCACAGTATTATTAGCAAAAAGTAACTGTGTCAACTCCCATTTTGTGTACAGTATTTGATTCCCCATAATTTAATCCTACCCCTCTCTCTCTCTCTCTCCCCAATACTCTAGCATTTACTTCTTTTACAATCCCATCTATAAATATGTTAAACAACCATGATGACATTACACATCCCTGTCTAAGAAATAAATACCCAAAATATATATACACAAACATACTATACAAACCTTCATTACTAAATTGTCCAGCTCTGCACCAGTAAAGCCCTCAGTCTTTACTGCCAAATGTTCTAAAATATTATGGGAGTCAATGTGCATCATGCTGGTCTTGAGCTGTAAAATATATAAAATAAATAAATACTGTACATATACAGACTGAAGGTGAAGAATATAAAAATAAGACAATAAGATAGAACATATAGTACCTACAATATATATTATTTGAGCACCATATTTTCCAGCATATAAGGCACAATTTTCTCCCACAAAAAGTCTTGGAAAATCATCTTGCGCCTCATATGCTCAAGGTCAGGGTCGAGGATAGGCTTCGTATTATGCTTTAGCAGTTGTTTACTAATGTCACGTTACAACTGTTTGGAAACATTGTCTTATGTGCCCATGTGCCTTATATGCCGGATAATACGGTAATAAGTTTAAAGTTATGTATAATAAATAAAAGCTTTGAGACAAAATTCTCTATTTCATTAAAGAATTGTGACCACTAGCACTTGTTATGATGTAAATGTGACAAAAGTTGTTAGTGTTATCTATTTAATATTTTAAAATTGTGGCCCAAGTGTCTGTTATTGTGCAAACATGAGAAAATATGTTACTGGTATGTCATTTACTTTACAGTATAGTGCAGTACCTTACCGTATGTGATGGTGTGTGTTCTGTCTCACTGCTCTGTTATTCTACCAGTAATGTGAGGAAAGATTTTTAGTGTAAAAAATCAGGCTCTGTACACACTCATCTTATTCAGAACAGGTAAAAATTTTTTTGACAAAATCCAATTTCCAGGGTCCCCTCTAGCATGAAGCTGATCAGAGGATAGGGCATTAGGTGATGCCAGTAGCACATTGTTACCTGGTTTTCCAGTAGTGCTAATTTTTTTTACCTTTCCATATACTCCAGGTCATACGATAGTGGATTGTTGGATTTTATTTTGGTAAAATACACCAGTCATTTTTACACATTTATGTTCGCTCTTCAACGAGGGTGCCTTGCAGCTGGTGTGGGGCTCTTGATGTGAGGAACTGAAGCTACCGTCGTCGTCTTTGGATTAAGCCTGATTACCTTCCATTCCCTAGACTGCATGACCCCCATGGGTATAGCCCCTCATCTTAAATATAAGAAGTTTGGGATATTTGCTGTTTGGAGTGAAACTTGAATTGTCATACCTACACACCTCTGCAAAAACAGTGATTATGTGTGAATGATGGTGAAAGTGTTTCTTTCTTTTTTTGGTCACCCTGATTTTGTGAGAGATGGCTAGCGTGTTGAAAAATAACAAATATAATAAAATATTACTAAATTTAAAAAGAGAAACTTTCGTTTTTTTTGGGGGGGCCACCCTGCCTTGGTGGGATACGGCCAGTTTGTTGAAGAAAAAAATAATAATATAAAAATAACATTGCATTTAACACACTGGCAGTTTCTCACCAAGGCAGGGTGGCCTGAAAAAGAAAAACTTTCATCATCATTCGCTCCATCACTGTCTTGCCAGAGGCATGCTTACACTACAGTTATAAAACTGCAACATTAACACCCCTCCTTCAGAGTGCAGACACTGTACTTCCCATCTCCAGGAATCAAGTCCGACCTGCCGGTTTCCCTGAATCCCATCATAAATGTTACCTTGCTTACACTCCAACAGCACGTCAAGTCCTAAGAACCATTTGTCTCCATTTGCTCCTGCCTAACACGCTCACACACACTTGCTGGAGGTCCAAGCCCCTCGCACACAAAACCTCCTTTACCTCCTCCCTCCAATCTTTCCTATGCCGACCCCTACCACACCTTCCCTCCACTACAGACTTATGTACTCTTGAAGTCATTCTATTTCGTTCCATCGTCTCTACATGTCCAAACCATCCCAATAACCCCTCCTCAGCCCTCTGGATAATAGTTTTGGTAATCCCACACATCCTCCTAACCTCCAAACTACAGATTCTCTTCACACCACACATTGCCTTCAGACATGACACCTCCACTGCTTCCAGCCTTCTCCTTCTTGCAACATTCACAAACCATGCCTCACACCCATACAAGAGTGTTGGTATAACTATACTCTCATACATTCCCCTCTTTGCTTTCATGGATAAAGTTCTTTGTCTCCACAGACTCCTCAGTGAACCACTCACCTTTTTCCCCTTGTCAGTTCTATGATTCACCTCATCCTTCATAGACCCATCTGCTCACATATCCACTCTCAAATATCTGAACACATTCACCTCCTCCATACTCTCTCCCTCCAATCTGATATCTACTCTTCCAGTACCTAATTTTTTTTTAGTTATCCTCATCACCTTACTCTTTTTTATATTCACTTTTAATTTCCTTCTTTTACATACCCTACCAAACTCATCAACCAACCTCTGCAACTTCTCTTCAGAAATCTCCCAAAAGCACAGTATCATCAGCAAAGAACAACTGTGACAACTCCCACTTTGTGCTAGACTCTCCATCTTTTAACCACACACCTCTTGCCAACATCAGAGCATTCACTTCTCTTACTACTCCATCTATAAATATACTGAACAACCATGGTGACATCACACATCCCTGTATAAGGCCTACTTTTAGTGGGAAATAATCTCCCTCACGCCTACATACTCTAACCTGAGCCTCACTATCCTCGTAGAAACTTTTCACCACTTTTAATAACCTACTTCCTATTCCATACATTTGCAACATCTGCCACAGTGCCCCCCTATCATATGCTTTTTCTGAATCCATAAATGCCACAAAAACCTCTTTACCCTTATCTAAAAACTGTTCACCTATATGTTTCACTGCAAACACTTGGTTTATACACCTTTCCTAAAGCCTCCTTGTTCATCTGCTAATAACAATAATATAAAAATAATAATAATAATAATAGTTTTTCATAAACTACTAGTGAATTAAGCTTTCTTCCACTGTAAATAAATGAAAATTTTCATAAATTATCAAAAACATACTTTAAGAATATCAAGGCGTGCATCAGCATCAGGCAGAGGAACGTAAACCAAGCAGTCAAACCGACCAGGCCGCAAAAGAGCTGGATCCAAGTTGCGTGGATGATTTGTGGCTGCACAAACCAACACTCCATCCTTTAAAATAAAAAAAAATACTGTTAATCTCATAAGTTTATCGAGTTACAAAATACAAAAAATCACTACATGCTCAAGCGGTAACATTCTTATAGATCTCATGAAACTTTTAAGCGGATATTTCACTATAAAGTTGTTATTCTTGTATACTATTACTGTATGTCGTTCCCCAAAGAGGAAAACACATATGCTAACACTTGCTCTCTAAATTCCTTTTCATGGGGAAGTGGAACAGAATTCTTCCTCTGTAAGCCATGCGTGTCGTAAGAGGTGACTAACATGATGGGAACAAGGGGCTAGTAACCCCTTCTCCTGTATGCATTACTAAAGTTAAAAAGAGAAACTTACGTTTTCCTTTTTGGGCCACCCTGCCTCGGTGGGATACGGCGGGTTTGTTGAAAGAAGATACATCATGCTTTCATCATGATGCAATAAGTCAAAATACCCAAAAAACTTGCCTTCTCTCAATCCATTTTAACCCAATTACACATGTCTGTTGGATGCTGAAGCTCTACGTAGCTCTTAAAAGTTCCATCACACCCTCCTACCAACCCTTCCTGGTACAGAGGATAATTACCCTACACCACCTTATCCATCCCAATTTGTACACAACCTTGGTCAATATATTATACTCTATCCATGATTAGATCACATCATCTTTTCCCCACTCTCTGAAGGGCTCTTGATCCAAGGAACAGGAGCTACCTTACCTTTCTCTGGATCAAACTTGAATACCTCTTATTCTCAATTCATAAAATACAAAACAAGAAAAAAGAAACAATAGAACCATGAACAATGAGAATAAGAAATCACATTTGTAAACTGGGAAAAAAGTGTTAAAAGAGCACTAGAAATGTTTTCATTACAAATAAAGTGTTAAGTTGCTGGAATAGACTATGAGAGGAGGTGACAGATGTTATCACCACAGGCAACTTTAGAATCATATATGACAACCTCAGTACCGAAGACAGGACACAGATCTGCTTATATAATTACAATTAGGTAATCACATGTGAAAAAAAAGTCAACACACACATTCTACATCATCATCATCTTTCAACAAACCAGCTGTATCCCACCAAGGCAGGGTGGCCCAAAAGGAAAAATGAAAGTTTCTCCTTTTAAATTTAGTAATACTATACAGCTAGCCCTCCACTTTCGCGAGTTCCACTTTCGCAAGCCTCGAACATTCACGAATGCCCAGCCGCCCAATCATATTTATCAAACAAATGCAGGAAAAAAGTATGGGAAAATGCTTCTAACCACGTCCCTACTACCCTCCCTCTTATCCCTTCAACCAGTAGCCCACCACTCACCCAGTCACTGTCCAGTTACTGTTCACGTTGGTCGTGTCCAGTTACTATTCATGTCTTATCGTATACATGTGTTTGTGTGGTGGTGCAAGTATGGCCCCCAGGCTTCACAAGGAAGCCTGCCACTACTCCTGCTGCTACCCGTACCACCTCACCTGAACCTCAACCCGTGGCAGAATCTGACTCCATTACTAAATCTGACTCTAGCGATGTCGGCAGTGATGCTGGCAGTGAAGAGTTAGAATCCACACACTAGACTCATCATGCCATGCAGTTACACTCCATATGATCACCTCCATTTAACCGTCATCAGTAACTGCACGGCTATCATCATCATCGTCACTGTCATCACCATCACAAGTCATCAGAGTTCGTCTGCCTAACCTTATGAGTGGTGGGTGTTTTGTTTGTTCATTATTTGTTATTAAACTGTAACATGTACTATATATGTACAACATTTTATGATATTTTCATGTGTTTTATGATTGTGGTTCAATTGGTTAAGGAAGCAGTATTGTTAGGCTAAGTAAATGCTATTATTATATTTCCCTACAATACATTTGCGCATCAAAACATTTGCAAATGCTACAATAAAGTATTATATTTCCCTACATCATATCTGCGCACCAAACATTCATGAATTTTCAAGATTCGTGAGGTTCTTGATCCCTTAACCCTTGCTAGTGTGGAGGGCCTCCTTTATATAGGAGAAGGGGTCACTAGCCACTTGCTCCCAGCATTTTAGTCACCTCTTACAACACGCATGGCTTACGGAGTGAGAATTCTGTTCCATTTCCCCATGGAGAATTCTACAACTTTTTCTTTTTAACAAGTTGGCCATTTCCCACCTCATTCATACATATTCACTGTCTTTGCAGAGGTGTTCAGATAAGACAGTAAAAAAAAAAAAAAACTGCGAGTCAAAGCAGTAGGCTCGAATCAATCAACGTCGACAAGAGACAAAAGTGAAAGTACCAGGCCATATGGACGGCTTCTACATTTTTTCTTCAACAAATTGGCCATCTCCCACTGAGGCAGGGTGACCCAAAAAGAAAGAAAATCCCCAAAAAGAAAATACTTCAACACTTTCACCTCACTCATACATAATCACTGTTTTTGCAGAGGCACCCAGATACAACAGTTTAGAAGCATATATACACTGTATACAGATGTATAACATATTCCTCCAAACTGCCAATATCCCAAACCCCTTCTTAAAGTGCAGGTATTGTACTTCCCATTTCCAGGACTCAAGTCTGGCTATATAAAAATAACTGGTTTCCCTGAATCCCTTCACTAAATATTACCCTGCTCACACTCCAACAGCTTATCAGGTCCCAAAAACCATTCGTCTCCATTCACTATCTAACTCACTCATGCACGTTTGCTTGAAGTCCAAGCCCTGCGCCTACAAAACCTCCTTTACTCCCTCCCTCCAAACTTTCCGAGGACAACCCCTACCCTGCCTTCCTTCCCCTACAAATTTATACACTCTCCATGTCATTCTACTTTGATCCATTCTCTCTAAATGACCAAACCACCTCTACAACCCCTCTTCAGCCCTCTGACTAATACTTTTATCAACTCCACACCTTCTCCTAATTTCCACACTCTGAATTTTCTGCATAATATTTACACCACACATTGCCCTTTACAGGACATCTCCACTGCCTCCTCACTGCAGCATTTACAACCCAAGCTTTACACCCATATAAGAGAGTTGGCACCACTATACTTTCAAACATTCCCATCTTTGCCTCCATAGATAACGTTTTTTGTCTCCACATATACCTCAACACACCACTCACCTTTTTTCCTTCATCAATTCTATGATTAACCTCATCCTTCATAAACCAATCCACTGACAGGTCAACTCCCAAATATCTGAAAGCATTGACTTCTTCCATACTCCCTCTGTCCAATGTGACATCCAATTTTTCTTTATCTAAATCATTTGTTTCCCTCATCACCTTACTCTTATCTATGGACACTTTTAACTTTCTACCTTTACACACCCTCACAAATTCATCCACTAACCTTTGCAACTTTTCTCTAGGATCTCCCATAAGCACAGTATCATCAGCAAAAAGTAACCGAGTCAACTCCCATTGTTTAACTGATTCCCCATAGTTTAACCTCACCCCTCTCCCCAGCACCTTAGCATTTACTTCTTTTACAACCCCATCTATAAAAAGTATATTAAACAACCATGGTGACATTACACATCCCTGTCTAAGACCTACTTTTACCGGGAAGTAGTCTCCCTCTCTTCTACACACCCTAACCTGAGCCTCACTATCCTCATAAAAACTTTTTACAGCATTTAGTAACTTACCACCTATTCCATATACTTGCAACATCTGCCACATTGCTCCCCTATCCACCCTATCATATGCCTTTTCTTAATCCATAAATGCAATGAAAACTTACCTGCCTTTATTTAAATACTGTTTGCATATATGCTTCAGTGATTATGTATGAGTGAGGTGAAAGTGTTGAATGATGATGAAAGTATTTTCTTTTTGGGGGATTTTCTTTCTTTTTGGGTCACCCTGCCTCAGTGGGAGATGGCTGACTTGTTGAAAAAAAAAAAAATATTGTAAACACTTGATCTACACATCCCCTACCCACTCTAAAGCCTCCTTGCTCATCCGAAATCCTACTCTCTGTCTTACCTCTAATTCTTGCAATAATAACCCTACCGTACACTTTTCCTGGTATACTCAGTAAACTTATTCTCCTATAATTTTTACAATCTCTTTTGTCCCCCTTCCCTTTATATAAATGAACTACACAAACCCTCTGCCAATCCCTAGGTACCTTCCCCTCTTTCATACATTTATTAAACAAAAAGACCAACCATTCCAAGACTATATCTCCCCCCTGCTTTTAACATTTCTGTCACATACCTGTCAGTTCCAGCTGCTTTACCCCTTTTATTCTACTTAATGCCTCATGCACCTCCCCCACACTCACATCCTGCTCTTCTTCACTCCTAAAAGATGTTATACCTCCCTGACCCATGCATGAAATTACCACCTCCCTTTCTTCATCGACATTTAAAAGTTCCTCAAAATATTCCCGCCATCTACTCAATACCTCCAGCTCCCCATCTACTAACTCTCCTACTCTGTTTCTGACAAATCCATTCGTTCCCTAGGCTTCCTTAATTTGTTCATCTCACTCTAAATTTTTTTCTTATTTTCATTAAAATTTCTTGACAGTGCCTCTCCCACTCTATCATCTGCTCTCCTTTTGCACTCTCTCACCACTCTCTTCACCTTTCTTTTACTATCCATATTCTCTGCTCTTCTTATAACACTTCTGGTTTGTAAAAACCTCTCATAAGCTACCTTTTTCTCTTTTATCACACCCTTTACTTCATCATTCCACCAATCACTCCTCTTTCCTCCTGCACCCACCCTCCTATAACCACAACCTTCTGCCCCACAGTCTAATACTGCATTTTTAAAACTATTCCAACCCTCTTCAACCTCCCGCTACTCAAACTTGCATTAGCCCACCTTTCTGCCAACAGTTGCCTATATCTCACCCTAACTTCCTCCTCCTCCTACATGTTCCCATCAAATGGTTAAAAAAAAAAACGATGTCCTCACGCAATTCTTTTTCCTTCCATCCAGCTGGGTATTTGTTGTCTGCACTCAAGCATGCAAAAATATAATTACTTAGTTGTAGATACTTTTTTTCCTTTATATTTTTTTTTAACAAGTCGGCCATCTCCCACCAAGGCAGGGTGACCCAAAAAGAAATAAAATCCCCAAAAAGAAAATACTTTCATCATTATTCAACACTTTCACCTCACTCGCACTTACATGTGATACACCATCATATAAATGCTGAAAGCTTTCAGTGATTGTAGCACTTATTACCTTTTTGTATCCATTTCACTTCCTTTACAACTCTAAACAAGTGTTTCATTCAACAGAGGCTGTTTAATGATCATGTAAGATTAATACAAAGTAAACTACAAACAATTTACATGTTCAGCAGTAATATTATTAGTGAGTAAGGAGGCCCCTTGGAGACTGGTGACTCTAACATCAGCTCCATCCATTGCTTGTAGTAGTTCATTTAAAATGCTGATATGGATACTGCTTCCACTTGCCTCTCTACATCCAAATATTCCATCTGTAAAGTTTAAGATTAAAATTACTATTCAGTAAATAATTAGACCTACAGTACCATAAAGTGGATATTCTTTATTTTACACACTCCTATTTCAATTTGGAAGAGGTGTGCTATAACTCTTGATTTCACCTCTTAATTTTGATTGACTGATGTATAATAGCCCTGTCTCATCTCTTTTGAACATCTGTTTGGTGTGTGCTTCTAACATGTCGTCTTTAATTCATTCCACTTCTTCACCGCTCATATTAAATAAATGTTCTGTTAGCTCTGTGGTCCTTACAATAAAGAAAAGAGTTTTACTTGAATTACAGTGGAACCCTGGTTTTCGTCCGGCCCGGTTATCGTACAATTCAGTTTTCGACTACTTTTTTAGGCATAATTTTCCCCTCGTTTTCGTACATTCACTCAAAAATCGTCCATACCAGATGCGTCCGCCTGCCCGCAGGATACAGCCGCTCATACATTCTTGACTCAGTCTGCCTTTGTTACTCATAGAGGGTGGTAGTGATGGTGGTAGAGGGTGATAGTGGTTGTGATGGTGGTAGAGGGTGGTAGTGATGGTGGTAGAGGGTGGTAGTGGTTGTGATGATGGTAGAGGTTGGTAGTGATGGTGGTAGAGGGTGGTAGTGATGGTGGTAAAGGGTGGTAGTGATGGTGGTAGAGGGTGGTAGTGATGGTGGTAGAGGGTGGTAATGATGGTGGTAGAGGGTGGTAGTGATGGTGGTAGAGATAACCTCTCCTCCCTCTCCCTCTCCCCCTTCTCACTGTCTTCCATACGCCAACAAGAGTCTTCAATAAAGGTAAAAGTGATTTAAATGTTCATTTATCCATTTCATTAGTGCTTTATATTTATTTCTCATTGTTTTCTGTATGTAAAACTATAGTTATTCTCTATAAAATGTATTTTTTGTTAATATTTTTGGGTGTCTGGAACGGATTAATTGGATTTACATTACAGTGGAACTCTGGTTTTCGTAAGGTCTGCATATCGTACAATTCGGATTTAGAACACTTTTTTGGGTGGAATTTTGGTCCGGTTTTCGTACCTCAATCTGGAAATCGTACATATCATACTCGTCTGCCCACCCGGGAACACTGTCATTCTGGCTTTGTCACTGGTTGAGTGAGCATTCATCCAAAACACATCGCAATTTTTGTTCTTGTTTATTGATTGTGACTGCGAAATAAGTCACCATGGGCTCAAAGAAAGTTCCTAGTGTCAGCCCTATGGTAAAGAAGGTGAGAAACACGACAGAATTCAAGAAAGAGATTGTAGAAAAATATAAAAGTGGGGTACATTTAGCCAAGCTTACCAGAATGTATGGAAAGTCAAAATCAACAATCTCTTTCATCCAGGCAAAGAAAGAAGAAATCAAGGAAGCTAAAGTTGTGAAAGGGGTAAATGTGCTAACAAAACAGAGATCACAAACAATTAAAGATGTGGAGAAGTTGTTGTTCGTGTGGATCAACGAGAAACAGTTAGCGGGAGATAATGTTGTGGAGATGATCATTTGCGACAAGGCAAGGCAGCTGCATACAGATCTTGTAAAGAAAAGGCCTGAAAGAGTGGTGCTGTTAGTGAATTTAAGGCCAGCAAAGGCTGGTTCAACAGATTAAAGAAGCATAGTGGCATACACAGTGCTGTAAGGCATGGTGAGGCTGTAAGTTCGGACAAACATGCGGCCAAAGAATTCGTTGATAAATTCAAGGAGTACATAGTGGCTGACGGATTCGTCCTTCAACAAGTCTTCAATTGCGATGAAACAGGCCTCTGTTGGAAGAAAATGCCAAAGAGGACCTACATCATGCAGCAGGAAAAGGCACTGCCAGGACACAAGCCTATGAAAGACTCTTTTGTTCTGTGGTAATGCAAGTGGGGATTTCAAAGTGAAGCCTTTACTGGTGTATCACTCTGAAAATCCCGGAGTGTTAAAGAAAAACAATGTCGTCAAGAGCAAATTGTGTGTGATGTGAAAAGTTAATAATAAGGCATGGGTCACGAGGCAAATTTTGCTCGACTGAGTCCTTGAAGTGTTCGGCCCTAGTGTGAAAAAATTCCTCCTGAAAAATAATTTGCCACTCAAGCAGCTCCTGGTACTGGACAATACTCCTGCTCATCCTCCAGACTTTGAAGACTAATTGTTTAGGGACTTCAGTTTTATAACAGCGGAGTTCTTGCCTCTTAACACCACTCCTCTCATCCAGCCCATGGATCAGCAGGTCATTTCTAACTTCAAAAAACTCTACACGAAAGGTGCTTTGAAGTGACCTTGGACACTGAATAGACCGTATAAGAGTTCTGGAGGGATCACTTCAATATCCTCCATTGCATAAACCTTATAGGTAAGGATTGGCAGGATGATGCTGTTGACCCTATGCCTGTTGTGGAATGTACTGTGTCTTTGGGGAAGTCCCTGGGGTTGGATGTGAGTGGCCAGGATGTGGAAGAGTTGGCGGAGGACCACAGGGAAGAGCTAACCACTGAAGAGCTGCAAGACCTTCCTCTGGAAAAGGCAACAGACTACAGATGAGGAAAATGCTTCAGAGGAGGAAGAGAGAGGGGAGAAGGTGCCTTCTTCAGTGATTAAGGACATGTGTGCCAAGTAGAATGAGTTGCAAACTTTTGTTGAAAAATATCACCCTGACAAAGCTCATACAAGCCATATCTGCAACATGTTCAGTGACAATACTTTGTCTCATTTTAGGCAAATCTTAGAGAGACGCCAGAAACAGAGCTCTTTGGACAGATTTTTAGTGTGACAGGTATATCAGTGCCAATAAAAAAACAAAGAAAGTAAGTAACCCCAGAGAGGGCTTCGATACCTGAAGTCCTTATGGAGGAGGATTCCCCTTCCAAACAATAACCTCCCTCTCCTCTCCTCGCCTTCTTCAATACGCTAACAAGAGTCTTCAATAAAGGTATGTAATGTTCATTTATCATTAAAATTAGTCTTTTATATTTATTTCTCATTGTTTTCTGTATGTAAAACTATAGTTCTATAAAAATTTTATTTTTTGTTAATATTTTTGGGTATCTGGAACAGATTAATTTCATTTACATCATTTCTTATGGGAAATATTAATTTGGGTTTCGTACGTTTCGGATTTAGATCGACCTTCTGGAACAGATTAAGTACGAAAACCGGAGTTCCACTGTATTTCTTATGGAAAATATTACTTCAGTTTTCGTACAAATCAGTTTTCGGCCGACCTTCTGGAATGGATTAAAGACGAAAACCGGGGTACATATCTTTGTGGTGATGCATATCCTTGTTCTCTTGCTTTTTGTTACACACCAGGTAAAGAGCCTAATCTGTCTACCCTATTTATGCCTTAAAATATTGTTTTATGTCAAGATCACATAAGGCCTAGCTCTCACATTTTTTCTACATAACTCTGTCCTCTCAGCTCAAGAGGCAGTCTTAATGCATTCTTTTGTACTGGCTCAAGTGCACAAAGTGTTTCACTACACAAGAATAAATGACATGTGCTAAGTATGTTTTAAGAAGTTTATCTAGATGCATGAAGTCCACTCTTAAATTTTATAAGCTTAGCCAGTGCTGCTAATGTTGTTATGTTTATATACAAGGCTCAGGGAACAATTGTTGGTTAATATTTTTTTTCTTAGGTCTTTCTTTTTAACTGTTTATAAGTTTCCTTTACCTAGGTAGTAGGTTGGTAGGGAGATTCTACCATCCTGCCAAATAAGTGTGAAATGCAAACCTGTAATTGTTTTACATGATGGTAGGATTGCTGGTGTCTTTTTTTCTATCTCATAAACATGCGGGATACCAGGTACATCTTGCTACTTCTATTTGCACTTAGGTCACACTACACATGCATATATGTGCATATATATACTACATGCATACCCCTCTGGGTTTTCTTCTATTTTCTTAATATAGTTCTTGTTCTTGTTCATTTCCTCTTACCTCCATGGGGAAGTGGAACAGAATTCTTCCTCCGTAAGCCATGCGTGTTGTAAGAGGCAACTAAAATGCCGGGAGCAAGGGGCTAGTAACCCCTTCTCCTGTATATATTACTAAATGTAAAAGGAGAAACTTTCGTTTTTCCTTTTAGGCCACCCTGCCTCGGTGGGATATGGCCGGTGTGTTGGAAGAAGTTCTTGTTCTTGTGTATTTCCCTTATTTTTTTTTTATTAACACATCAGCCAATTCCCACAAAGGCAGAGTGGCTCGAAAAAGAAAAACTTTCATCATCAAGCACTTGGTCACTGTCTTGCCAGAGGGGTGCTTTATGCTATAGTTATAAAACTGCAACATTAACACCCCTCCTTCAGAGTGTAGACACTGTACTTCCCATCTCTAGGACTCAAGTATGGCCTGCCGGTTTCCCTGAATCCCTTCATAAATGTTACTTTGCTCACACTCCAACAGCACATCAAGTATTAAAAACCATTCGTCTCCATTCACTCCTATCAAATACGCTCACACACGCTTCCAACCCTTTCTAGGCCTACCCCTACCCTGAATTCCCTCCGCCACAGATTTATACACTCTCGAAGTCGTTCTGTTTTGTTCCATTCTCTCTACATGTCCAAACCACCTCAACAACCCCTCCTCAGCCCTTTGGACAATAGTTTTGGTAATCCCACACCTTCTTCTAATATCCAAACTACGAATTCTCTGCATTATATTCACACCACACATTGCCCTCAGACATGACATCTCCACTGCCTCCAGCCTTCTCCTCATTGCAACATTCATCACCCATGCTTCACACCCATACAAGAGTGTTGGTACAACTATACTCTCATACATTACCCTCTTTGCTTCCACAGACAAACTTCTTTGTCTCCACAGACTCCTAAGTGCACCACTCACCCTTTTCCTTCATCAATTCTATGATTCACCTCCTCTTTCATAAACCCATCTGCTGACACGTCCACTCCTAAATATCTGAATACATTCACCTCCTCCATACTCTTTCCCTCCAATTTGATATCCAATCTTTCACCACCTAATCTTTTTATCCTCATA